CCTGGTGCCTGGATCTGATCCCGCAAGGTTTCCAAAGTGCCTGTCGTCGAGTCGGAGGCGGATGATGAGGACGACGAGGAGGACGAAGCTGCCGACGGGAGCAGGGGCGAAGAAGCTTCCCATGGCAACACCATTGCTGGCTCCAGCGCATCTCCGCTTCGCCAAACGGACCTCGAGGGGCGAAAACTCTAGCGGAGATCGCCAAGGCTACGCCGAAGAAAGGTGGTCCAAGTGGCGTGAAGAGGCAGGCGAAGGTCGTGATGAAGGGAGGGGTGTTGATTCCCTCCGCTTTCACGGACAGCGAGTCCTCTTCGCCAAGCACGCCCACTTCGCCAGCGCCCCGAGCTCCCGGTATACAATATACGTGGGCAATATATGTCCAAACAAAAAGGACAAAAGAAAAATATGGTAGAGAATTGTTCCATTAATCTGTTGTGCGTATACACAAATGAAAAATAAAACATTCAGTAATCGGTGTAATATAGAATATACACCGAAGCTAATTAACTAATCCTAACTTTGAGCATTTGCTATACACTTAAAGAATCTCGTCACTCCACACAGTCCACGGCGATGGTGAAGTGGATGGCTCCAGCAGCGGGGCAGATCGAGGCAGCAAAGTGCGGAGGTGTAGCAGCTCGATCCATCCACTTCCTTCTACGCCGTCCCCTCAGCTACTCTGAATCTGAGGTGATCGCTGCCCTGGACTCCACCCTGTATTGGTTACTTAGATTATATATTTATTTTTCGTAGATTGACAGCATCGAAATTCTTTACACCAGTATATTACACTTGTATTTTTCGTGGGTCAAAAAAAAAAACCAACTGATCTATGGACCAAGCTTTCAAGCAGGCCCTCACTGTAGTGATTCGGCCTAACGGTTTACCACAATATTAACCGCTGAATACATGATAACAACAGAATATATGATACACAGAAGTGAATCATCTAGGTATATACCATGTACCCAAATAGAAAAATAAGCAGAACATCAGGTAAAAAGAAAAGGTGAAAACATGGTTATTTGGTTGAGCAGCATGATACTATCAAGGTAATATGGTCAATGCAAGGTAATAAAGAGAGCACAAGAAAAAGCTAGTCGTGCATTCGAACTTTTGAACAAAAGTATATAACACAAGAAAAAATCAGGCATACAGAAGATCATTTGACAGCATGATTTACATTTGATCTCACCGATCTACTTGTTGGATCCTGCTGTCCTAGCCTTCCTGCTATGATTTTACAGCATATCTAATTGCTAAATTAGTTCCTATTCTCCTTCAGACAAAGCAAGCAAATTTCTAGATATGCTCCAGTACCCTCAATTGATATTTTTCACATATTTGCAAGTTATCAGGACAAATGCTTGTCCACATGCCTGTGGGTACATGGCAGCATGCACTATACTAAACATCCAAAAAGTGCTTCGATGTGATAATGTTCAGAAACTTGCCTTGCAGTGACAAAGAATGTGGAGTGGCGGTTGCGAAGGACGGATGCGAGGTGTGGAGGAAGGATGGGCCATGGGCAGCCATGGCGTCGGCGGTTCGCGTGAGGACCAGCATAATAGTAGCACCTGTTCACCTTCTCCAAAACTTTCATTAGGCGTAACGTATCTATATATCTATTACAATTTGTCGCCAAATCAGCAATCTGCAGGAGAGCAAGTGGAACAATATGATTTTGAAACTACAAGATCCAAATTAGGGCATGTACAACGGTTTTTTTTATTAGTGGTCTCTCTATGTTACCATGCAAGTAAGTTTGATGACATGGAAGAAAGAGAAACGAGGAAAGAGAAATATAGTTGTTATGTACGACAACGGTTTAGAGTCGACTCTTAGTATTTCTTAGAGCAAATTTTGTTTCATGGTAGTGAAAGAAAGGAAAAAAAAGAGTAAGAAAAAGTATTTTGATACATTAATGGTAGAGACCATATTGTCTCCAACTATTGTAGGACGTTAGTCTTTAGATAGCATAGAGCTCATACCTGTTTATACCTTTGTACATGTCCTTAATTGGCTGCAACGCAACTAATCATGAGAATGCAACCAAAATTATAATTTTCCATCTATATATACAGTACATATGGTATCCTTTTAGAAAAAATGTTCTAATAACACCACCCTGCAACCAAAAAAAATGTAACTCCACGTTCTAGTATCACATGGCTTAAGCAGAATTTAATCGAACACCTCCTGCGCAAAAAAAAAAGAGAGTATGCAATCAAATAAGAACTTGGTGCTAATCTTTCAAGACAAAATCAAACAGTGAAAGGGAAGGGAGAAGAGATCAAACAAAAGGCAAGACAATCTGGGAGGTGGAAGAGATCGATGTTATTCTGCTTGTGATTACACTTCGTCTCTTCTTCTTCTTATTGATTTTCAATCCTGACAAAAACAAAAAACAAAATACAGAAATAGTCTTACGACCTCAACTAACCTCAATGAATAAGCACTCAGGCCCGGGGCATTGGTTCCTACTCGATCGCCACCATTGACTTCATGGGATGAGCACCTCCACATGCTGGATCCAGCTCTCGCAAGTTTGCTTCACCACTTTCTTTCAGCCCTGCCAAAAGAAGTATTCCAGTTTTAGCAAGGTGTGGCACATTTTGTAGTTTCAAATTACAGACATATCCTCTATTCCTTATAATACAAGTAATCTTTTTGAAATGGGCACAACAAAGATGAAATAAGTATGGATTATGAATCTATCACGGTCTAAATGCACAATTATTAGCACGCGCCTTTAAAAGCAAATCAATCATTGAGCCATATAAGGGAGAGATCAGAGATGTATAAGCAGTTTTAACTGAAGAAAATTTCATGATTCAGAGAAACCATTTGTGCACTTAGGTTCCTTGAAATTGGATCTTGATCTCCTTTGTTACAAACCTACAAACTATCTGGCAACTAAAACAAATAAACACAATTTGAGCTTACCAGTTACTTGTCGCTCCACAGATGGAGACAACCGTCGGCCCATCCATCTACTGCGTATAGATAATTAATTATATATTGATTGCATTTCATTTAACATCCTCCAAAAATAGTTACCACCAATGGAAATAGACAGAATTCTTCCACCAACAATATCTAACCTGTAGCGACTAGATTTGTAAATTTTCGAAAAAAGATTATTTTTTAAATATTTTAATAAAAAAATGTATAAATAAAAAAAATTTAGGCCTAGGCACGGCCCAAGGAGGCCATGGGCGCGTGCTGTGCCAGCATAGCCCAAATATGGCACGTGGGCCGGTGCAGGCCCATTAGCACGAATACAAATATTAGAAAAAAGGAATAATGCAAAAAAAAAAGGAAAAACAAAGGAGAAATAAAAGGAAAATAGGGGGGAACTAGGAAAAATGATGAAAATAGGTAATACACATATGAAAAACTTGGGGGAAATGGGAAAAAAAGAGAGAGAAAATAGGAAAAATATGTGGGAACTTAGAAGGAAAAAGTATACTTTAACTCCCTTAACTATCACCTGAGTATGATTCATGTCATCCAACGATAAAATCGGGTATATCGACTCCTCCAAGTATCAAAACCGGTGCAAACAATATTCCTAAGTGGTTTTGGAGATTGTTTTGGCTGACGTGACGCCTACGTAGCGGTCTGGACCAAGTCTTTGTCCTACGTGGTGCTTACGTGACATTAGAATAAAAACAAAAATAAAACAAATATGGGACCCATATGTCATTCACAAAAAAAAGTATTATGGGACCCACTAACAAGTGGGACCACATGTCATCCTCCCTCTCATTCCCTTCTTCCTCCCCCTCTCTCTCTTATATCTCTCTCTCCCCCCGGCCTTTCTCTTCTCGGACGACGGCGGTGGAGAGAGGCGGCAGTAGCGGCGGCGGTCGGCAGCAGCTGTGGTGGTGGGGAGCGGCGGTGGCAGTGGAGAGCGGCCGAAGCACCAGCGCCATCACTTGTCGCCATCGCTGCCTCAATCCGGGCCACCGCCACGTCGGGACGAGCGACGCTCGCCACGAGGCCGCCTCCTCTCGGCCGCCAACAGATGCCCCCGCGAAGAACTCCTCCTCGCGTCATCCTTCCTCAATGCCGCAATGCCTCCCATCCCCACCGCCACGCCACCAACCTCCTCCATGTGCTGCTACTCCTTCTCTGCTCCTCCCCGCCGTCGGCATCGCCCAACGCGACCTCCTTCCTGTGTCGTCGTTTTTCCCCTTGCTCCCCACCACAGTCTGCATCACCGCAGCAACCTCCTTGCGCAGCCAGTCCTCAGTCCGGTAGGACCTCATTGTCGGCCATTTTCCGACGCCGCCCGCCCTGAGCATCGCATGCGGCAGCCTTCCCCACCACGCTAGCCAACCTCTTTCAACTCGCCGCGCCGTCACGCGCCGATCGCCTCCCGCTCAAGCGCGCACGAGCGTGGTGAGAAAGGGATAAGGCGGAGAGATTGAGAAGACTTAGTTTTTATTCTAATGCCACGCAAGCGCCACGTAGGACAAAGACTTGGTTAAGACCACCACGTCAACCAAAACCACCTCCAAAACCACCGAGTGGTTTTAATAGTTGGAGAAGTCGATATACCCAGTTTTGTGGTTGGAGAACATGAATCATACTCGGGCGATAGTTGAGGGAGTCAAAGTATAGTTTTTCCAACTTAGAAAAACAAAAGAAGATAAAACTGGGGAAATTTCGTTGGACCGCCTGGGCGAATTTTTTTTATTTATACATTTTTTATTAAAATATTTACAAAAATAATTTTTTGTTTCGAAAATTTACAAATCTAATCGTCCGCCGCCCTTTGGGGGGTTGCCTCAACTATCGCTCTCCCAAAGGGCGGTGGACGATTAGATTTGTAAATTTTCTAAAAAAAAAATATTTTTTAAATATTTTAATAAAAAAATGTATAAATAAAAAAATTCCCGCCTGGGCCGGCTCGTGCTTGGGCCATTGCGTGCCGGCCCACAGCCCGAGCCGACGGCCCAAGCGCGGCACGGCCCACGGGCTGGCGTGCCGTGGCCGGGCCCCGGCCCATTTTAGCAGCTATACTCCCAGCGCCGCTCGGCCGCCGGCGACCACGAGCGCGTCCCCGACGAGGCCGTCGCCTCCGACTCCGGCGCTCCCTTCCCTTCCCTTCCGACGCGCGCGACGCCTTCTCCGGGGAGAAAATATGGTAGGCTCCCCATGGCTTCTCTCCCCTCTCAATCGCGGCCAAAATTCCACTGGGTTTTCTGCTACTTTTGAGCCATAAATCCCCGAGAAACCCTAACTAACAAGTGATTTTCCATCGCAGGATTACCTCAAGACGGTGGTTCCATCACAGCTGATGGCCGAGCGCGGCGCCAACCTCGTCGTCATCAACCCAGGTGCGCCCCTCCGGAAACCCTAGCCCCTGATATCAATCTGGTCATCCCCTCCTCTTTTGGGTGCTATTTCGTATGGCCAAGTCCTTCTTGAGATTCATGCCTTCCACCCTCCAATATCGAGAATATTTGGACGATTTGAATGGGTTGATGTGTTCTTTTGGATGAAAGAGTTGGAAGTAGTTGGACGAAATGCATAAAGCGCAACCGTATTAGTAAAGTAATTTTTGTGTGATAATTTTGTGGTTGTGTGCTGACAAATTATCTTCGCAGCAGCTAGGTGCCTGCCTTATCTAGATGCAGTTTTGCTGCCAGTTCAATTCGTAGTTGCTTTCAGCTGACCAATCAATTATCCGTGTTCTCTAGGATCTTCAAATGTGCGCATTGGGTTCGCAAGTCAGGATGTTCCATTCAATATACCGCACTGCATTGCTCGACATATCACTCAGCAGAAGGATGATACACCAAGGCTTTCTGTGCGAGACAAGGTGGTGCAAATATTGGGAGGTTTGTGATGCAATGCAATTTATCTTTATCCTAATTGAACGACATTCATGTTTATTTGCAGATGCTCAACTGCCATGCAACTCCATCGCAGAATGCAGAGCGGGAGAGGGCATATGATATTGTAAAAAGCAAACACTTGGCGTTGTTTCTTTTTGGATTATGTTTCTACTTGAGCTAATGAGGTGATAGACTTGCAGATTGCATCGCTGCTCAAAATACCCTTTTTGGATGAAGACATGCCTTCAGCGAACCAGGCGTTACCTCCTAAGGTAGGACGCACGATCTTTAAGTCTTACCTATCTGGTTGTACGGTTATAGGCAATGAGAGTGAACTACAGAACTAGAGGAATCTGCTGAGAATATAGTAGCACATGCTCCACCCTACTGGATCAACTACAGTATTATTGGGTTTAAAAATTCGAGTTCCACCCTATTGCAAGATCCAGATGTCCTTTTGCTCTTGTATGGAACAAAAAGGCTTTAAGATGGGCTCATTATATTATGTCTTTGGTGTTGATGTTTTTTTCTTAGCAGCCAAATGTATGTTACATTATGTACAATTAAGTAAACTATGTGATCTTCTAATCCTTTACAAAGGACCCAACAAAATGACATGCACACATCTATGTAGATCAATTCACAAAAGATCACATGTTATGGAACTAAACATCACAACAACTAACTCCTTTTCATGAGTAAAGATATGCTCGGGCACTTTGGTCTTAATGCATAGCCATGATCAGGTGGGCCACAGAAATCCTGCTTCTTGCCCATCAGTGCCTTGATTGGGTGAGTTAGCACTTTTCAGTGAACAAAGAAAAATAGCATTGGTAGAGGGAGAAAATGGGGAGATAGAGTGGATATTGCTTGTTATCCTTTGTAAGCAATGATACCTCTCCTGCCTCTAAGCTGAAGGCAGAAACTAAAGAATAGCAGGAAGCTTATTCTTGTAAGTCGACTTCACCTAGATATGGTTCAGGATTGACACAATAAAACACTGTATTTCACTAATTAATATAAGCTCAAAATTCTAGTTCAATGTTAAGTCTATGTTTTTGCAAATAGATCCTTGATATCCAATATCCATGAAAAACTTGAGGGGCTATCAAATATATAAAATACTCATAAGGTGTGTTGAAAAGAGAAAATTGATAGTGACATTCATTTATATTGTACAGTGAATCTTTGAAAATATTGCAAAGTGAACTGATTAGTTCATCACTTTCTCCAACTCTTCTGGATTTATAGATTATTTTTGAATTATTCTTTTGTCTAATTTGAAAGATACTTTTATCTTTTCATCTTTGGGTGTAGCTATAAATGACTACAACTGTTCGATTTTGCAGTATAGCTCTGTTAGATGGTTTGAGTGTTTGACATCAATGTTCTTGAGACCAAACTTGTTTTGTTTAATAAAGATCCTAGTGTTGTTTCTATATGCTGATATCATTGCATTTACCTCTTCAGATGGGACGTGTTGATGCCCTTTCTTCACAGCAAAACAAAGATGATAGTAAATTCACATGGACAGATGTAATGGACAGAAGTATTAAATCATCTACACCAATTGGTACTGTCTGATCATTTTGCTTGTTTTATGGGGACACTTCATTCTTTGTTTTCTCTTTTCATAGTTGTCCGTTAGCTGAAGCTAAATTGTATACTTTAAGTTAGGGCACTGTTTGTGTAGATATGCTTGTCCATTTGGAAGTTGTACATGAATGTTATTTGATATGGCTTATTTTATTTGACATTATAATTCATTTGTTATGCCTTATGTGGAACACCCCCAGCCAAATGGGTGGTAATCCTCAGATTGGAAGTTAACTTGGATTTGGGCAGTGTTTACACAATTGGAGTCAAATTCAAATGTAGAAACTTGGGGTCAAACCATTTGTGCGCGCATTTGTTGGAAAGGAGGGAAGAGGGCAGAATCCTATGCAAGCTGCCATGCGCGTATCAATGTCTGTGGCCTGTGCCTGAGCTTATGGCAGTAGTGAACTTTGTACCCTGTAGGACCATTGCATTATGATTTGTGGCTAGTTTAGCTGGAGCTTGGAGCGAGCTAATTCTGTTATTTTGTTGGATTTAACTCTTATGTTTTGTTATGGTATTTCTTTCCCATTGGATATATTTGGATTGGAACTTTGCAGTAGCTATATTGATGTGGACATTGTACTTCAGAAACAATTGTAACTGTTATCTGAAAAGGTGGAAGCTTAGTCGAAATTTGCATCCCATTCTTTTTACATAGCATGTATCGTCTAGCTGCTTAAGATTATTGGATTGGGCATAGCATGGGTATTAGTGGATTTGTTTAATTCCAGGGAGATTAGAAGAGCAGTTTTGCATCAATAGTGAAGTAACCTATGTTTTACCTATACTATTTTATGATATCAATGTTTTGCTGAACTACTCAAATTGGTCAGAAAGGCCAGTTGACAAGGATGCTGACGTGGATCCCCTGCAAAGATCAACTCCTGACGATACTGAGCCTAATTCTGAAGAAAACATGTATAAAGAAATAATATTTGGAGAGGATGCTTTGAAAATCCCACCTTCTGAGTCATACTGTCTGAGTCACCCGATCAGGAGAGGCCATTTCAATATTTCTCAGGATTATTCATTACATCAGGTATTAGTATGTGACTTAATTATTATATGCCATTTTCCTTAAGCTCATTCAGTTATAAACTTATAGTAATGCTCCTTCTGGATGTAATTGACAACACAGCCATTTCAAATGATTAAGCTAGGCTGTGGTTACATTCAAGATAATCAGTAAGGAACGGAACATGATATTTGTTGGAACATTGTTTATTAAGTAAAAATGTATTAACTGATTTGCATTACAACTTCGGTAGAAAGGATTTGCTCAAATGTATTGAACAAAGCTGACGCCATCCACAAATCTGTTAGAAAATTTGGCAGAATCTCCCCTGTATTTAATTACATCCACGACAAACAGTTTATAAAAATAATTAAACATCACTTAACCCGTAGACATGATAGCACACAAACTCTCACAGTATAAAAGTAAACAATAATTACAAAGCCAAATGTGAACTATTCAAATATTAAGGAACTATGTTTAGTTTAATTCTGTGAGCTGTGGAGATAAGGGGTGCTACTTCCTGCCCATACATACTGGATACCTAAAACCAAATAAAACAGGTGAGTATAATATACTCAGCAAGTATAGTATGGAACTACAGAACGGAAATAGAAAAACATACACACAGCAAATTGCAATAAAAAAACACATTTTTCTTTCAAGACAAAGGATTCATTTTATTTTCTTCGAAACTCAGCAAGTATAGTGCCACTAGTAAGCCCTAGCTCTGCTTACTTGGCTTTGCTGGCAAATGCTCTAAAGATGTATTCACTCTTGTCCCGCCTATTGTTTCAAGGAAAAGAAAATTTTGTTTCAAAGACAAGAAAAATAATCTCTTTTGTCTTGAAAGAAAAAGAGTTAGTAGTTTTAGTGTGTTCTGTGTAGCACTCTAGGTTTGTGGATACGGTACCTAGGGTGTTATATTTCTCCATCTTAAAACACATATCAGGAACATGTTGAAACAAAGCGTTAGTATTTTCTTTGATCTCAATATCCCTTCATCACTTCTCTCTTTTTTTCGTTTTTTTTCTTTTTTGTGATCTGCAATCAAGTCCAATATTGTTCGATGCTTTAGCATGCACCCAATTTCTCAGACCTACCCAAAATGGGTCAAGTGGTTCATCTTCTGAAAAAGCAATATACGTGATGAAGTACAATTGTGATGAAAGAATGAGATACTAACGTTCTGAATCCACTAGAATTATTATTTACACTTTCTGGTATCCATGCCTACTTACTGGTTCTTCTTCTTCTTTTTTCTGCATAATTAATAAAACAATTAATCAATCAGTTTATGCTGCTTGTAAGGCAGCATTTGTACAGCCTTGTAGTGCCATATTGTAATTTTAGGCACTGTTGATTTTGTGTTCAAAAGTTAAAAATTTATTCCAAATTATCTGTTATTTCTTCCTCAGTTTTTATCTCTGATGTGATGTATTTGTTTATGAATGACATACCATATAAAATGTTCAAAACAAAATCTGGCTATCAAATTTTTAGAAATATTAAAATCTGGATTTGATGGCTGATATTTTGTATGCCAAAAGAGAAAACTAAGTGACAACTCTTTATTTTGAATTTGTCATAAACCTGTGTATGCTGCCTTCTTTTTTCTTATGAACAGCATAGTATCACAATGCTAGACCATCTTTTTAATTAAAAAAAGTGCAGGTTTTAGAAGATTTGCGCACTATTTGGAACTGGATATTGACAGAAAAATTGCATATAAATCCAAGAGATCGGCATCTGTATTCTGCAATTCTTGTTCTAGGAGAGACATTTGATAACCGAGGTATTTCTTCTTTCAAGTACATATGTTTCCTTTGACTTGTCATTTTGGATATTAATGCAGTCCCCAATACTGTACCTTTGTCCTTAATGCTCTAGTTACTCCCTGTCCCAAAATATAACGCACACAATTTTAGGAAAAATCAACAATTTCAACATTTGACTAATAATAATTGAAGTAATATATGTTTAGTTCTATGCATGTGATGTTATTAAATTTGTATTTGAAAGTTCTTTCATAAGATGTTTATTTTGTAATTGTTACATCATATATTACGATGGGAATTATTTGTCAAAGCTCTTCGTTGGAGACCGTGTAAAAAAGTTATAGGTTTATATTTTGGGGCGGAATGAGTAAATGTTAGCAGAAATATTTTAAAACTATAAGCAAAGGATCTATCTGGTCTCACTACTGCGGGTTTAGATTGATCTTAACATTCTCACTATAAGCAAAGGATCTATTTGGTCTCACATGCTTTTCCTTTATTCTCTAGTTAGATGTTGGCAAAAAGTTTTAAAAGATAAGGAAAATTCTATTTAACCCCAAACTACCATGATGCTTAAACTTACAAAATCAGATCAAAGTGAATAAACCCTGAACTAGTTCTGGATGGTGGTTTTGCCCTCATCTACTAGCACACAATATATTCATGTTCTGATGGCATCTTGTGCTATCTGTGATTTAGTCCACAACTCTGCCCTGTCTGCTTGACACTGGCTGTGAGAATCTGGAATGATCTTTCATAATACTGTTCTGCATTGAAGTAGTCTTGAATTGACAGATGAGGAAAATACTGGCCACAAAGTTGACATGTACCCTATCTTATGTTTGTTTTTAGTTTTTACCCTTTTACTATAAATTATATTGTATAATGCGTGTTGCATAACACTTTTGAGCAAGATTTTTCTTTTTGCTGATTTATCTGGTCAAAGGAAGTTAATTATTTTATTCCATTTCAGAAATCAAGGAAATGTTGTCAATCGTACTTTGCGATTTGGGTTTTAGCACAGCAGTGATACATCAGGTTAGCTTTTGCATCCAATCACTGGGCATTTTTCATTTTTCTTTCTTTTCACATTCTGGATGTAAGAATACTCTGTTTTACATGGAAAATCTAATTAATTGGATCGTTCATTCGTAAAGTGGGACAAACGAAACTCCACATATAAATTGATTTCCATGTACTACAGTACTATCTATTCCTCTGAAGTGCTCCAATAAGTGTGACAAGACACAAATTTGTAAAGATGGGATGCTAGAATTTTGTCATTTTGAAAGTTTGCATCATTTTTAAGGAACATTGGAATTGGTATGAAAGTACTTGGATGTACACTTGGAAAACCATTCTCCAAAAAGGGATATCATTTAGAATTGTACACTTCAATAGCCACAGGGTGGTTTCCACTATTCTGATGTTATTGTTGAGTTAATCAATGAAGGTTGTATTCACTGAATGGATTGTATTGTGCTCCTGTGTTTATGCTTTGATGCATTATTGTCTTTGTTAATAACTAAATATACTGCTGAGAGAGTGGCCAACTTGTTAAAACAGTTGAGATATTTCGGTTGCAATGTGGATACTTTTCAGAGTTCAGATTTGTGCCAGAGCAGGAATTTTCTTAGCACAGCAGATATAGTTGCTGAACAGTTTTTTCTTGTACCTTCATTAGATAACATTTCAATGTTTGGTCCAATCCCAGAGTGGAACTAAGCCCTTAGCCTACTGCAAAAAGTACTGCTTGTAGCCCAGCTTGACACTGATTATAGATGCTAATTATTCTGGTTTTAAACCAGTCCATACTTCACCAGCGCACAAAATAAGGGACCCATGAATGTTTCATATTCTTGGGCTATATGAACGACAGAATTTCACATCTAAAAGCTAGGATTTAACTTGTTTTTTGTGCTCGAAATCTTAAGTTGACGCTGGCTCAGCTAGGGGACCAGCTGGTGGATTCTACCTTCTGTGTTCTTTTAGTAGTTATTGACTGATTGTCTGACAACAGGTTTAATGATTCTAATGCGGAACTACAAATTGAGACCGGTTAGGTTAGGGAACTTCCTACTTGCACGGCTGTATAAGGCTTGTAGAAGAATAGCCATTCAACCAAGTTATGTGTTTGATGATCCACAAGTTGAGACATTGAACATCCTTATTTCTTCTGTATATGCTTTGATAGGAAGCTCTAGCTGCAGCATTTGGAAATGGCTTGTCGACATCTTGTGTGGTCAACATTGGCGCGCAAGTTACACAAGTAGTTTGTGTTGAGGTAATAACCGTAGCATTTTCTTTGGTCTTTCACTAGCCATTGAGAAATGAGGGTTGTATTCTTAAGTCGTAATATGAATAGCTTTTCTTTAGCTTTCTAGATACTGCTTACGTACCAATATATTGTCCTCCTTGATGTATGCAGGATGGTGTTGCTTTACCCCACACAGCCCTGGCGCTTCCATACGGTGGAGATGTATGCCCTAAATTATACTGTTTGACCTACACAACCAATCTTAGTTACTTTGGATAATCCGCCTTTTATGTTCATTCTATTTAATAGTTTATCATTACTATGAAAATTCATTGTTTGTGTTCATTGTATTGTATCACATTATATCATTTGTTTAGAGTATATCGCTATGGTCATGCAATCTGTGTAGACATCAATAATTTACTAGGAAGACCAAGCTTTAGCATTAAGTTTGTTACGATATTAAGTTTGCTTCTGCCTTTGGTTTATATTGTTTTTGTTTAGTGTTGGTTAACAAGTTTTCCTTTTTTTTTTGTGTGTGTTTCTTTCTCCAATTTGTTATGCTAAATGGTCTGGTCCAATGCTGCTAGCCACAACGCCATCTATACTTGTTATTCTTTGTTTTTACTTTTTTAGAGCTATTATTTGCTCCTATTTCAAAAAATATGCGTTTGTGCAGTTTCTGTGTAGCGATTTAGTCTGATATCAGTGTTTGAAACTGAAAGTAGACATTAAAAACTTCTCAGCGAGTCTAGTCTGGTTCTGTTTTTCTTTCACTGCTGCCAGTAACCAGTGAAAAATCTGCTGAAACATGGATTAGGATATTGAGTTGGTATTTGAAATATGACCAGAAACCATCTAGATAATTTTTCGCATCTGGGAATTTTGTTTCTTAGTCAAGTAATATAGGAAATTCCTGTACAATTTGAGATCGCCTCTGTTTTTCTGTCCCTGCTTTTAAAGGGGTTTTGTAGTTAGCACTAATTTGAGATTGTCTTTTCAATTAGTTATTTATGACATGATTATTTGATAGCACTGTTGTTGGTCTAATCAGTATTTACTTATCATCTTCCTTGCGGCAAGGCAGTCTGAGTTCTTTTTAATACATTACACATCAGCTTTGCTATCCTTTTTCTTTTGTAGGACATATCTAGATGCCTTCTTTGGGTTCAACGTCGTCATTGCACATGGCCAAACTTCCAAACTGATCCAGTGAACAAGCCTATAGATATGCTAATGCTCAACAAACTAAAAGAGTCATACAGCCAGATAAGAGTAAGTGGCTTATACTTATTTGCATTCATTCTAATAAGGGCAACAGATGGCAGAGGTAGTGTGTGCTCCAGTTAACATTTCCATCTCCAGTGTATAGCAGATTGAAATTCAACATCTTCAGAACAACCACCAAAAAAGAACAATAAAAATATAACACCAGTAGCATTGAATAATGGTTTCTAATGTCACGGTATAGAATTCCTGTTATGCTTTAGGTGCAAATCTCTAGAATGACAATGAGTCGGTGATTTGGCTCGAGTGGTATATTTGTGTAGCTTGTATCATATGAGTTACTATTAGTCTTGTCTCCTGTCAGTTTTCGGCTCATCCCTTTACTTTTTCCGTGACTTTCATGAATATGTAAACACAAACGCATATCTGTAGTCTTATTTTCTTTATCATGAGTTGATCATCCAACAGCACAAAAATAAATTCAACATAAAAATGGATCTGGTTGCTTGTTTAGATTCTAGTTACATATCTTGTACTCACTTGTTTGAAAACAGTGTAATAAAATGGACAGAGCTATATTATGTTAAACAACAAAACAAAAGAGATCGTATATGAGGGATTACATATATATTTCAAAGGACAATTCGCACCTGAACCATGATCTCAACCTACATTTTTCTTTTTCACAGAGTGGAAGTTTTGATGCTGTCAGTGTTGTTCATTCATATGAGCATGAAAAATCAGTTGGTCATCAGAAAACAAAGCTATCGGCTCTGAATGTAATCCATTACTATTTACTCCTCTCTTTCTCTTATGTGCTTATTTTTTCCTTTTTTGGGTTTATCATCAAAAACTAGCACAGGTAGTTGAGCTACAGTCCAAGAACAATGCTGGTCTTCATTTCATTATTTCGTCTTAGTTGATTTATGTATGCCTTTTTTGTGATTAAATAGGTACCTCCTATGGGGCTACTTTATCCAAGGGTTCTTGTCCCAGAAGAATACCCTCCACCTCCTCGATCTTGGTAATATTTTGATTCATCTCGGTAGTTTGGGTATTGTGTGTTTGGATTTGATTACTTTACAGTAGTTTTTCTGCCTGCAGGTTCCAAGATTATGATGACATGTTAGAAGATACATGGCAAACAAGTGACAGTCTTTACTCAAGTGGGAATGGTGGGTTCGGTATGTGGGACAATTATCCGATGTTTCCCACCAGATTAAAAAAGTTTGATAACATCGGTCTTGTAGAAGCCATTGTTAGTAGTATCCTTTCGACAGGTAGTGTCTTTACTCTTCCTTATTATTTTGCTCCCCTTATCTTGAAACTTTTCTAACACCTGCTGACCACAGGACGTATTGAGCTTCAAAGGAAGCTATTCTGCAGCATTCAGCTGGTAAAGTACCAGGCGTCTTTTTAGTCAATACTTCAACACTGTTAATTCAAAGTAAGTTGAGAGGAGTGCTTATGTGGCTTTTCAGGTTGGTGGTACAGCTTCAACAGCAGGCCTTGCACCAGTTCTAGAACAAAGGTTTGCCACTGGAGTCATTTTTCAAAAGACTATAAATGTGCTGCTGTGTGTAACAATTCATATGTTTTGTTCAGGGTTCTCAATACTATTCCATCAAATCAACCGATAGAGAAAGCAGAGGTATGTTCTTTCAAACTAAGAATGTGAACAAGTTTTTAAGTACAAATGCACACTCCAATTCTTGAAAATAACTTGCAAGTTCTATGATAGGTTCATTTCTGACTAATATATTCTATGATAGGTTCATTTCCATCACATGGTTGTCACAGCATCTTGGTGTCCAACGAGGGGCCGCTCGAGAGCCATGGTCACCAAAGATGCTGTGATAACCATGGCCCATCATTTCTTTGTTATTAATCTCATCTAATATTGATAGGTATTACAGTCGAGGAGTTATCCATTATTTGTCCCATGGAAAGGTGGTGTGGTAAGTTACATCTATCTTCAGTCTGGTGTTCTCCTATTTCTTGTAAGACAAACTAATGAAATCATTACATATTACATGATAATTTATATTTTCAGTACATTTTCCTTATTGTTCAAATGCATTTCATTTTAAGGGAACTTTTGGAATGAACATGATCATATGTTAATCTCACTATTTGATTATGTACTTCATTTCCCCTTCCTATAGTCATATGATGCTTTATTTATTATTCACAAAAGTAGTAACTGGTAATGTAGTATCAATCTAGTAGAAATACAAATATATCTAGCACTTAATTGGAAAGGATGTTACACATTGGCAAACTCAAATGGAGTGTCAATGTCCCCTTAGGTGGGAAATAGACAAATCTTAACTACATACTTGTGTGCATCATGAGCCAAAGAATAAATCCACTGAAAGAATATTCAGTTGATAACCTGGTACAAATCCTGAACAAGTGTTTTTCAGGTGTTAAGGTGACATACCCCTTGTTTTTGTGCCACGTATCTTAACATACTTTTGCTTGCTTATATAAGCATATTGGTGAAATCATTGGTGAAGTTTGACAGATTATGGTAATTGAAGAAATCCAAAGCAAGAAAGCAATTTACTTAACATAAAATAATGTCATCTAATTGGAAACTTCAGAATAATAGATTTAAAGAGGCTCACTAAATAGGTGGATCCATCTTTAAATTATTTAAGTGCTTTATATTTTGCCAGTTTATGCCACATGTTCTTAATGTAAAAAGCATGCAAATGTGTGCAGTGTTGTTTTGCTCCTTTTTATTTTCCCCCTTTTTGCGCTCTTATATTTCAAATTCATAAGCCCTAACTTGTACAGATTTTGGGCGTACTTGATATTGGTCGTGATGCTTGGATACATAGAGAAGATTGGGCTAAAAATGGTGTCCACATAGGGAGTGGGAGAAAATATAGGGATTCTTATTTTCTTCAGGCACAGGCAATGTGTTACTACAATTCATAACAGGTATCTCTCCACCCTGGTGAGCGCCATGTACTTGTCCCTGTCGTCATTTCCATGCTCAGAGCCTCAGTTATGTTATTTCTTGGTCAATTCTGTAGTTATAAACTTATAATCTACATTTGAGCTATCATGTAGGAAATTTTAAGTGGAAATTTTAGTCTGCCTTTTTAAGGGATAGCATGATTTTGTTTCACAGTTACATCATATATTTCTTTATAACAATTGGAGGCTCTCCTGGAAGCGACCACAAATTTTGAGGCCGAAAACTAGATATCCCCACATTAATCTGTAAAACTAAAAATCTATCCATCTATGACATCTACAACTGTATGGTAAATGTACTGATTACAAATATACAGTCTTTCCTAACACATGAACCGATATACGACTCTAGCATGGTATCTTGGTTAGATTTGATTGTTGGAACCACTAAGTTGTTGAGTCGATTTTGTAGCATATAAAGGACACTAAAGAAATTTTAGTTAAAATATGCACGGGTTAAAGGCTAGGCTGGTTTTTTTTTTTAATAAAACGCATGAGAGCTGTGCTTCATTTCATTAAGAAGGAAAAACAAATCACCCATACAACCAAGGGCTCGTGATCCCTTCCCAAAACACATCCGCAAATAGTGCCCTTTGGTTAGTGACCTACAAAGGAAAACTTGGAGCGCAAGAGCTCCAGCCAGGCACCATAGCCTTAGCTTCTGTTGACACTGCCTGCAACACCTCCATGATGTTTGGAATTGATCCGTTGAAAACAAAAGTCATTACGCTGTTTCCATATTTCGCAAGCAACTAGGGTAATGAATGAAGTCACCCCCTTATTTTGCTCCTTAGGAACATCCTTGACAGCTTTCCACGACTGTTTAGCAAAACGAGTTACTGAAGGTTGAGGGGCAGCACCGGTCAGCTTCAAGAAAATCTAGGTCCAAACTTGCTGAGAGAAGACGCATGAGACAAGGATGTGCTCGATGGTTTCATCCTCTTGATCACATAGTGGGCAGGTTGTCAGGTGCACTAGTCCGTGTTTGGCAAGACAGTCCGCTAGTATACAGCTTAAACGCTAAGCTATATAATTCATTTTCTAAACATGGTATACAGTGCCAATTTTAAATCATTTATCTTAACTAATTAAAATATTCTTAATTTTCCTTTCGTCACCTAATTTTCGTCCGTATGCGCAATTTTTTTCACTCGTCTGTGTGCGATCCTCTCCCAAAATTTTGGTTCATCAGTCCGTGAGATTGAGACCGCGTCGCTCCCGTCCGGTACGCGCATACAGGAGATCAAATCCGATCCGAGCCAAGAAGCATGGAAACGAGAGAAACTGAATCACAAAATCACAAATCCAACAACAATGAATCAAAATCATCCCAAAAAATTAAATCACAAGAATTAAATCACCGGGGCCACTGCGTATCCGAGGCCAAGCATGCCGCTGCCCTCAGGCCGTCATGGCTTGTCTGCGCGCTGCCGTGTGCCACGAGGAGGGTGCACTCACAGATTCACAGCCGATTCATCAAAATTCACCGATTCATCACAGATTCAATCACAAGGAAGGGGAAAATCAAAAGGAGGAAAAAACTGCAAAAAAAAATCTCTTAAAACATTCATCACAAAAAGGAAATCACAAGGAGGGGGATGGAGGAGCGTGCTCCTCACCGCCACCCGCAACCACGCTCGTCGCCAGGGAAGGGGGCCGCCACAACGAGGAGGACGGGGTGGACCTGGTGGCCGACCGGAGCGCCTCCCCCCTCCGATCGTCCCACCATCTCCATCTTCACCTCCCGCTCAGAGCTGCTCCCACTGCTCACCGACGCCACTGTTCGCTGCTCGCAAAGGACATGACGCCACCGCCGCTCCTGTTGCCTGTTGCTCGTGGAGGACGAGGACACCGCACCTGTTTCTCGCCAACGCCATCGCTGCTGTTGCTGGCTTGCTGCTCGCCAAGGCCGAGGACGCCATCGCTCCTGCGTGTTGTGAGAAGGGAGAAAGGATAGAAGAAAGAATGGCTGTGGAGTGTGGATGGTAGGAGATAAGGTAGAGAGAGAATAGAGAAGGGGTAAGAGAGATAAGAGTTTTTTTTTGACACGTGGTAGGGAGGAGCTGAGATAATAAAGCAGGAGTTGTGTTGGTGGATAGACTTGAGATAATTTTTGCTTGGCTCCTGTTCTTGTTTTCTGTACCGATTATTTTTTACAACCGGAATCAATGTTTATCTCATACTCTTATCAGTCCGTTAACTTGAATTGCACATGGGGAAGAAAGAAGAGCGAGGATAGAAGAAAATGGAACTGACATGTGAGTCCCACGTCTGGGGTCTGACGGAAAACTCGACGGAGTGGCACAATTCTAATTTCCCCAAATTCCAGTGGCATACAGCCGATATCATGAATAGTAGTGACATTTATCTAAAATGACATATTTGTAGTGACATATTTTAATCGCCTCTCGCTCAGACTCAGAGAGAAGCACCCGTAGAAGTAGCGGTAAAGGAGGTCGTCGCACATGGGTGCGGAATATAGGGGAGGCGACTGGAGCGTCAAAGAGGCTATCGCCATCGGATCCACCCGTGGGAAGCCGTGGGAGGGCGCCGCCACCGCCTTTGCTCATGGTGGGGGAGGGCGTCGCTGTTGCTGTCCGCGGTGGGGTAGGGCGCCGCCAAATGGGCCGCACGTACCTAGCAGAAGCCACAAGTTTGGGCCGGGCTAAAATCAATGTTCTCTCTCTCAGTAATTTTAAGTTTTTTTTTATTTTCAGAAATAGTATTAGTACCATTTTAATTGTTTATGACTACTTATTAATTTAATTCTAGCTAAATTGAACCAACGAGAAATTTGGCTAGATGTTTCTTATGACATGGATTTATTTTCCGATCAACGTTGATTATAAATTTGTATACATTTCATTTCTGTTCATGTTTCTTAATTATTTACGCCAACAGTGATATAATTCAAGAATTATTTCTGTTTAACTATGTAATTAGTTGAGACAACACAATGATGAGATCTCATTATGGTGATTATTGATAGCTACAAGACTAGATCACTAGTAAATAGCTAGGTTGTGTCCTGACTGCTGTGTGCAGTTGCTCCTCCTGAGATGGGTCCTCTTGCTCTTTTTTGAGCTTGAATAGATTTGCTTTTACTGACTAAAATTTCCAAACCAATCTTGAGGGCTTCTTTTGAAGCCTTCTAATTATTTGCAAAGATATGACCTTCAGAAATTCTCTTGCTGCCACTGTATTTGTACAAAACCAATATTAGGTTTATAAAAATGCAGAAATTAACTTCATGATTTTGTAGGAGATATTTTTGACAAGTGCTTTTTTTAGGGATGACAAGTTTAAACTGCGATATTTTTTTATAATATTTTTACAACCGAATTCCTAACCAATACAAGATTTACTTATATTTGTTTTTTTTCACAGGTAATTTTTATGAAGACTGTCATGGGATGTAGGGTGAATTGAGTGCACTTCATGGTGGAAACCTTTGGATATAGCAGAAGGTTCATCAAGAAGGGACCCGGATGTACTAACCCTTCAGTTAGAAGTAGCATTGCATGTAGAACATCTATTTTCACAGTAATCTACTAACCCTGTAACTCGTATTGTCGCATCAGGATACACCTCCATGAGATCGTGTAGACATGCTTTGTGAGGTCAGGAAATTGTATGCTGTGCATGAGTTGCATCCGTTATTCTTGACATATCATTTGTTCCTCTTATGATTTAATCTGATGGTGGCATGGTGCATGTTTATCATTTAATCTGATAGATTTTTTTTTTACCATCATTTGTGCACCGATAAGATAGTTGATTTGAACTGCACCAGTCAACAGCAATTATATGCGAGTGAACTAGGTCTTACTATCACAAGTCCTAGAATATACAAACAATTCCTTTCATGGATACCATGAGATAATTTTCATGCACACATGCCACCACCAGAAATAAGGCAGGTCCAGTCTAGAAAACTTTGGTGTAATACAATTTCTGCATATGTATTTGTAGCTGTTCACAATGCAATTGCTTGTTCTTTTTCTCATTCATATTGCACTTTCTTCGACGGGCCGTCAGGCGAGAGGCAGCATGACCGAAGCTGAATTCTCCTGGCACCAATGTCACCTCAAGCTCGATCACAACCTCTCCGGTGTTGCTCGCGCACGTTGGTCACCGTGTGCTGGACGAGGACAGTGACCCTCACGCAGCCGCTCCGGTGGCGCGCGGCTTGGACATCGCCGGCGCCGAGCTGCGGCAATGAGCAGAGGAAGCCAGGAAGGTGATCTAGACGACGACCCCGGGATGGAGCGCTAGCTCCCGCAGGGTTGATGATTATGAACCCGGCGTCGTCGCTGGCTGGTGCAGCGCGTCGACATCGGTGGTCTCGTATTGTTTTCTTCCTTCGAAGCGCCAACTGGCGACGTTAGGGCGCCGTCGGGATAAAAGCCAATGGTGATTAATTAAGTATTAGCTTAAAAACTTAAAAAATAGATTAATATAATTTTTTCAGCAACTTTACTACATAAAACTTTTGAAAAAAAAATACTGTTTAGAAATTTAAAAAACGTGCTCACGAAAAAAGAGGTTTGTGAGTTGGGAAAGAAGGGGAAAGAACACAACCTTATTCTACAATACCCATTGGTTTTATCCGCTTCATTTCTTCATTCACATCAAGATTCATCACCCTTGCGGTATGATTCATATATTGGATCAACTTGACGTCCCAGGCAACATCCAAATAGATAAAGTCATCAGTGACAAGGCCTAGATGGTTATCATTCATCTTCCAACTATTGATAATAGCTGGATTTGTGAGTTTGTATTCCCCACAAACAATTTTCTCAAAATCTCTTGCACCCTCCCAGAGCGTCCTCACGCACCTTGGTCCACGACGCCCACCCCTGCGTCCATGACTACTCCTTGGCGCCCCTTGCGCGCTCTACCACCTCTATGGCTCGGCTACCTCAACATCAGCTTCCCAACTTCGGCTACACCGACCATGGCTACTCTACGCACAGCTTCATCGACCATGGCTCCATCGCACTTTTCGCTTCGGCTACGTCGACTATGGTACAAAGGGCTATCATCCGTATTGAGCATTTTTGCTGGTTTCTTCTCCAATCCAAGTGTCCGCACGGCTCACGCTTGTACTGCGGGGTGGGGGGGTGTTAGAGTATGTAGACAAGATCGTATTGTATAAGGTTTGCTATGGTAGGATAGGATTAGTTTCCATCTCTATCTCTCTGAGTTTACTTAAGATCCAATACATGTATTCCTATATATACCGACCCCCAAGCCTCAATACAACGTGTCAATATTTATAGTATTTCTCTCCTTCCTATACTATGACTATCCAACAATATCCACCTCGAAATTCTCTGATGAGAGGAACAAAGAGTCATACCAGATGGTGTTGTCGATGATATTGCTAACAGGGCTCAATGGACCTAAGCAAGTAGCCTGCCTTGAGCAGGGTCCTGTGATGAGGAGCCCAAAAATCTTCCATTGGTAGCCGAGAAAGTGCCTTGAGATAAAGATTGAGGATTCTGTCAAGAAGAACACTTCGCAGTGATTCATTCAACCTGCTGTTTGCTGGCACACTGTCAGTACTAGCATCCATGTCCAAGCGATGAAGCCGTTGAGCAACAAAATCCATGGGTTAGTCGTCCGATTTCTTGAGCTTGAGTGGCTGCTTCTGGAGCAATCCTGACAAGCAGCACAAATCCTGAACAGAGAGGCTTGCGACTGAATGATTCTTGTGGCGGATGAGATGATGCTGCCAAGATGAGAGGCGAGCGCGAATGAGCCGGTGAGGAAGGCATCGATGTCGGCCGGGTTGCCTGGACGAACACGCGTCGATGAGAGAGGAAGCAGAAGTATGATACGAGGAAGGCGATGAGGCCATGGAGAGAGCACTCCGTGACGGTGCGTGCCTCGGGGGGGAGAAGGGCAGTCCCGTCACCGGCGACGGTGACAATCTTGGAGAGGATCTCATCCCTCGACGCCGCCGTGGCTGCTCTGGAACTCACATCTCCTCTTCTGCTCCTCCTCTTCCGCTTCAGCTTCTTCTTGCCATTGAGTTAGTGGTTTTATGCAACATTAATAAACAATATTATACTTAGAACATGAAGTTGAAATCGCTAGTAATCGCGGATCATCATGCAACGGTGAATATGTACCCGGACCCTGTACACACCACCCATCACACCATGGGAATTGGTTTCGCCCGAAGCATCGGATCACGAGAGAAAAGAACTAACTGTTTACACACAAATTTGGCACCTATGAACGAAATAGATGAAAATTGCCAAAGTTTGGAAAGTGCCGGGTTTCCTTCACAGGGCCTGTCGGTGACATGGGATCAGGAGTATCATGACTAGAGGTTTGAGGCAGACACAATCGCACACGTGGCCTGGCACCCCCGAGGGACGTCGGGCCCGAGGGTGATGTGTTCGCCCTCCTCTTAGTCCCCCCGAGGGGGTCGGGCCGCACCCGCCTGGCCGAGGCGCCCCGACCCCTCGTGGGTTTTTGCTCCGCGTGTATGGGTTAGGTGAGCACAGTGGGGCTCACCTAACCACATTTATTGCGGTTTGGCTGAACGTGTCACGCCGCATGTAACGCAGTGCAGTGCACTCGTTTATCCGGTCTGTGACCAGTCACAGACCGGTCAGATCGCGGGTTAGGTGGCGACAGGCGATCTGACGCACGCCTCGCCCCATCCCGTCAGGACGAGGGCTTCTAGGCGCTCGTCCCCAGCTGGAGCTAGCGTGTTACCTCCCAGAGATGGCACGTTAGTCCTGGTCAGATATATGTCAGGCTTCATCCTAACCATTACAGGCAAGATGTTGTGTGAAGAAGGGCGAACATGTAGATTGCTAAGCTGACACGTGGTGGACAAGAATGACCGACGTGACTGGTCTGACACCGGTCATGTCGTCAGCAGACAGCCATGATTCCACGTCGCATCTGCTCCCGGCGAAAGTGGAGGTAGTTGTGGGCCGTCTCATCAGAAGGTGACTCGGACGGCAACTATACAAATCTCCGTCCATTTATGAAAAGGTGGGGTAAGTCCCCACAAAAAAGAGAGAAATGGTGCATGTGGTATCCCCTTAAGATATAAAAGGAGGACCTTGCCCACTGGGACTGGACTTTTGGGGGAGAGGGGGAACCCAGAACAAGGGAGAGGCTGGCTCATACTTTGTAGCTCCTTCATACACAGATCTCCCAAAACACAGGAGTAGGGTGTTACGCTTCTCAGCGGCCCGAACCTGTATACATCGCCCGTGTCTTGTGTATTTCCTGTCTCGCGAACCTTCCACATACAGAGAGCTTAGAATCTCACCCTGAGTCCCCGGCCGAACCGGCAAAGGGGGGCCTGCGCGGTCTCCCGGTGAGGAGCCCCACGCTCCGTCATCTGGCGCGCCAGGTAGGGGGCTCTGCGAGGGATTTTCTGAGCTCTCGCACTCTTTCGTGTGCGCCAAGCTTTTCTTGTTCAGCCCAATGGCCGAGCCAGCAAAGGCGCACGACCTCTCCCCGAGTATGAGCGGTGACGACGGGGAGCCAAACCCACGCCGTCGAGCTCGTACTCCACCGCCCCCTCCACGCCAAAGTCCTAGGCGGGAGAAGGCGCTCGAGAGGGCCGAAGGATCCGCGACTTCGACACCCACAGGAGGTGGAGAAAGGCGGCGAGATGGGGAGCGTCGCCTCCTCGTATACGGCGACGGCAGCACGCCCCAGGGCGCGCTCCAAGCTGCGGGCGCGCTCCTACGTCACCCGCCCGTCGCCCATGACCCGGAGTCTCTAGCCCAACGTTGGCTGGACGATGTGGCCAAATTGGTCATGACTGCACGGCAGCGCCTAGATGCTGGTGGGCGGTCCTCCGCCACCAAGGCCTCTGGTGCTGCTACCACCGGCTCCGCGTCGTCAAGACGGAGGGCGCGGCGAGCGGCAGCCGCTGTTCGCCATTCGGCCGCCACTCCTTAGTCAACGCCTCCGACCCGGGAAGATCTGCGTGGGGAACTGGATGCCCGCATCAGTATCGAGCGCCGGCGTAATGGCCGACGTGCTCCCCACGCAACGGAGGGCGCCTCCTCGTCCGGAGTGTCACCTCACCACGGACGCGGGGATCAGCCCTCCGTGCCCCCGGTTGGTGGTGTCGGCTGTAGAGCCTTTGTGGCGAGCCTTCGGAATGTCCGTTGGCCCCCAAGGTTCCGGCCCACCATCGCCGAAAAATATGACGGGAGCGTCAACCCCGCCGAGTTTCTCCAGGTCTACACGACCGGGATCGAGGCCGCCGGGGGTGACGACAGGGTCATGGCGAATTTCTTTCCCATGGCCCTGAAAGGACAGGCGCGGGGTTGGCTAATGAACTTGCCACCCGCGTCTGTCCACTCTTGGGAGGATTTGTGCCAACAGTTCACCATGAACTTCCAAGGCACATATCCGCGCCCAGGTGAGGAAGCGGAGTTGCACGCAGTACAGCGAAGGGATGATGAGTCACTTCGCTCGTACATTCAGCGGTTCTGTCAAGTCCGCAACACCATACCATGCATCCCTGCACACGCGGTGATTTACGCGTTCAGGGGGGGTGTGCGGCACAACCGCATGCTCGAAAAGATCGCCTCCAAAGAGCCCCAGACTACCGCGGAGCTTTTTCAGCTCGCGGACCGAGTGGCTCGTAAGGAGGAGGCATGGACTTGGAACCCCTCCGGTTCCGGTGTGGTAGCTTCGGCCGCCCCCGGATCCGCCGCTCAGATAGGGCGGCGTGACAGGAGGAAGAAGAAGAGGTCAGCCCATGCCGACGACGAGGGTCATGTCCTCGCCGTCGAGGGCGCTTCGCGGGCCACCCGAAAGGGGAGGCCTGCGGGAGATAAAAAGAACGAGGCCGGCGCTCCCAACAGGGAGCGCCCAACCGGCAAGTGGTGCACTGTCCACAACACTTCCCTTCACGACCTCGCGGACTGCCGTGCAGTCAAAAGTTTGGCTGAGCGGACGAGGAAGTGGGAGGAGGAGAGGAGGCAGGAGCGCCGAGAGGGCAAATCCCCGGCGGTTCCTTCCGATAATCGGCGAAGTGAGGCCAAGCAGAAGGCCCCCGCCGAGGACATCGATGACGGCGATGATGACCTAGGTTTCCAAGAGCCTGGGGCCACCATTGCCACCGTCGATGGGGGAGCGTGTGCTCACGTTTCTCGCCGGAGCTTCAAGGCCATGAAGCGAGAGCTTCTGGCCGCGACCCCTACTCATGAGGCGACGTGTCGGGCGCGGTGGTCAGAGGTTGCCCTCACCTTCGACCAGACCGACCACCCACCGTGCGTTGCCCGGGGAGGGCAGATTGCGATGGTGGTTTCTCCCACCGTTTGCAACGTGAAGTTGGGGCGTGTCCTCATTGATGGGGGAGCGGCCCTCAACATCCTTTCCCCTGCGGCCTTTGACGCCATCAAGGCCCCGGGGATGGTGCTCCGGCCGTCCCAGCCAATTATCGGTGTGACGCCGGGGCACACGTGGCCGTTAGGTCACATTGACCTACCGGTCACCTTCGGTGGATCCGCCAACTTCCGCACGGAGCGGGTGAACTTTGATGTGGCGGACCTCAGTCTGCCCTACAACGCGGTCCTGGGGAGGCCCGCGTTGGTGAAGTTCATGGCGGCGGTCCACTACGCCTACCTACAGATGAAGATGCCGGGCCCCGGTGGCCCCATCTCTGTCCATGGCGACCTCAAAGTCGCGCTCGCTTGTCTGGAGCAGCGCGCGGACCACCTCGCCGCTGCGTCCAAGACCGAGGGTGGCGACGAGAGGCTTGGCGCCTCCGCCCCCGCCACCCCGAGGCAGCGGATGATCACAGGCGACGAGGTCCCGGTCAAGGAGGTTGCCCTGGGCGACGGCCCGTCCAAGACCACACGGATCGGTGGTCTTCTGAACGGCAAATAGGAAGACGCGCTCGTCTCCTTCCTGCGGGCAAACGCTGACGTCTTCGCATGGAGACCGGCGGATATGCCCGGGGTCCCCAGGGGGTTGATTGAGCACCGTCTCGCCGTGCGGCCGGGTGCAAGGCCGGTCCGGCAGAAAGTGCGGCGGCAGGCCCCGGAACGTCAAGCCTTCATCCGCGAGGAGGTGGCGCGACTTCTGGAGGCCGGATTCATCCGTGAGGTCATCCATCTGGAGTGGCTGGCGAACCCGGTGGTCGTTCCCAAGGCGAACGGCAAGCTTCGGATGTGCATCGACTACACCGACCTTAACAAGGCATGTCCTAAGGATCCTTACCCCCTGCCTCGCATAGATCAGATTGTCGACTCCACTGCGGGGTGCGACCTTTTGTGTTTTCTAGATGCATACTCTGGTTACCATCAGATTCGCATGGCTAGGGAGGATGAGGAAAAAACTGCGTTCATTACCCCCATAGGAACCTATTGTTATACGACAATGCCCTTCGGGTTAAAGAATGCAGGTCCTACTTTTCAACGTACTACTCGAATTTCTTTGGGTAGCCAATTAGGACGTAATGTTGAGGCTTATGTCGATGACTTGGTTGTAAAGATGCGCAACCAGGAAATGTTACTCTCAGATCTAGCGGAAACTTTTGAGAGTCTCCGCTCCGCCCGCATAAAACTAAACCCCGATAAGTGTGTGTTTGGTGTACCTGCGGGCAAGCTTCTAGGGTTCTTGGTCTCTGCCCGAGGCATTGAGGCCAACCCCGAGAAGATACGGGCTATAGAGCGGATGCGCCCCCCCAGCAAACTTAGGGATGTGCAATGCGTCACCGGTTGCATGGCCGCCCTAAGTCGGTTCATATCGAGGCTGGGAGAGAAGGCGTTACCCTTATTTAAGCTTCTCAAACGCTCCGGACCGTTTACCTGGACGGAGGAAGCCGAAAATGCCCTCACCCAGTTGAAGGCGTATCTAAGCTCTCCCCCAGTTCTGGTCGCCCCGGAGCCAGACGAGCCCTTGTTACTCTACTTAGCGGCGACCCCGCAAGTAGTTAGTGCGGCATTGGTTGTGGAGCGCGATGAGAACAATTCTCATTTCACGCTTCCCCACCCTGTGCCGACTTGGCCCGGGAGAGAGCAGGGAGGAGAGGCTCCCGAGCCGAACGGTGGCCCAAGGCCCCCGACGACCGGAGTTGGCCCTCTGCCTGCTTGTCAGACGGTGCTAGGAGCCCCCGACCCCCAGGAAGGCCCTAAGGCCACTGTGGGAAGGCCGCACCTATCGCCCTTTGACCCCGAGGCTAACCCTGTGCTGACTCGACCTAGGAAAGAGCAGGGAGAAGAGGCCCCCGAGCCGAACGGAGGCCTAAGGCCCCTGACGACCGGAGTTGGCCCTTTGCCCGCTTGTCCGACGACGCCAGGAGCCCCCGACCCCCAGGACGGCCCCGAAGCCACTGTGGGAAGGCCGCCCC